TTCCCACTATAGGAGTCAAGGAACTTGACCTTGATCAGCTCCCTACGGGGACGTGCCTCCTCCTCCTTGGGGGCAGTCAATCTAGCGCCTTCTATGGCGCCCGTACAATAACGTTTCGTGCCCTCTAGGCGGGCCCTCACCTCTGAGCCCACGTGCGTCGCCAATTCCCTGGCGAAATCCTAGAGCCCCAGCCATATAAAGCGTACGACAATGTTATGACCTCTACCAAACAAGTACTGTTCTTCCTGGACCTGGGCCAGGCGCTCTATGTTCCTCGCCAACCTCTCAATTTTTCCCAACAGATCCACCTGCGTCGCCATCTGGTCTCTCTGTTTCTTCACCTTTTCCAATTCTCTCACCGCCTCGCTCGCCGCCTCCATTCTCCTTTTTCTCTCCCTCATTAATTGGAACTTCCACTCCTCTTCTCATCCTCCATCGCCTGCCGCTTGAGTGGGTCTTCTTCTGCATCCCACTCTTTTATGGCTGCCTCTTGTTCTTCCCTGGGCACATACATTAGTGCCTCCTCTTCTTCTCCCAGGGATAGACCAGCAACCCACTCCGTAATCTTCTTCTCCAACTGATCTTCCTTTGTTCCACTGGATTCGCCTCTCCCTTCGGTCCTTCGCCTTTCCAGTGGTGTTTCTTCTACCTCTTCCTCCTCTTCTACTGCCTTAAGCTTCTCTTCTTCTTCCTTCTTTAACCTCTCCCTCTCTCTAGCCATCTCCTCCTCAATCTTTCTCAACTTCGCCGCCTGTTCCTCCATCAGGGCCTTCTTCTTGGCCTCTTTCTTTTCTTTTCTCTCTTTCAGGAGGGCGGCGACTTTTGCCTCCTGTTCTGCTGTGTAAGGCTTGGTAGTCGTACCACCCCTCGTGTCTACTCTGCTCGTAAAGCTGTTCCAGAATCCCAGCGGGAAGAGGAGACGTCAGAGGGTCCCCCACAGGGAGAACCCCACAAACAAGTCGTGCATAGGGTAATCGTCCATGGTGTTAGGTGCACGACAGAGATTGTCCCACTCCTCACCACTTAGACCTACCCTCTAACTGACACGACCTACTGACGCAATCTAAGGAGATCCCCCGTAAGGGCCGTAACTCCTCAGGAATTCTTTAACGTCGCGGACAGGACGACGCGGTCAGCAGGTTCTCTCAAGACTTAGACGGCCCGTTGTGCAGCCCACAGCTCGGATTTTGGGCCTACCGTGCCACACCGAGCAGCCCGCCGGTCAGTACCGGTCCTTGGGAGGGTTCGTGTCCTCCGGGACAGCCGAGTCGTCAGACACAGTCTTTAGCCCTACTCAGCCCGTGTGGGTTTGGTCAACGAGGCCCTATCCTTCATACACGGAGTCCTATCACCTGGACAGAAGAGACTCAATGCAGAAAGAAGAGACAAACAGACTCAGACTCAGCAAGTACCATAGGGTGAGTGCACATCCATAGGGCGAGGGGATAGGCTAAGGGCTTGGCGAGATTATACCAACTCCAGCTTGGTCCAAATCGTGGTCAACAGCTCCGGTCAACGCCTTGGTCAACACTTGGTCAACACGGTCAAACCCCCGTCAACGCTCCGATCAACCCTCCGGTCAACGCCCGGTCAACCCTCGGTCAGCGCCCGGTCAACCCCCACTCGGCTATGGCTGCCGGCACCTTCTTCCTCGCCAACCTCCAATTCTCTTTCCCCCTCCTTCACCTTTCTTCTTTCTCCTTTTTTTCTCTCTTTTTTTTTTTTTTTTTTTTTTTTTTTGTTCACCCTCGGCTATGTCTGTCTTCTACTTCGTTGTCCCGCCTTCCTCCTTCCTCAGCTATGTCTCCCTCTTCCTCTTCGGTCTCTCCTCCCTTCTCCACTTCTCCTTCCTCTCTCCTCCATGTCCCGAGCTCTGCGGCTATGGCCGCTACTTGGTCTTGGACCGCACAACCAATCTTGTATTGCTCA